GGTTAATTTAGCCATAGGTTTGTACCGGTCCATCCTCTGCGTCTTATGCTCGTGAAGGTTAGATGACAAATATCTACTGATAAGAAGATAACATTCTTACTGCCTCTCTGTGCAGTCTTTCAAAGCCTAAAGTGTTTAAGCTTTATAAAGGATGTAAACACAAAAGACGGCCATATTAATTGTTACCATTAAGGAGAAACAACAACAAAAGCAAATGAAAAATGAAAAATCTTGCTTGCCTCTACTTGAGTTTGCAACGTGTATAGAGAGAAAGTACAGTTCTGTACTGCTTGAATGGGGGTGAAGTGATCGGTGCGTCTGTTTAATATTGTTTCATCCCTGAAGGCAATTGTTTATGGCATTCTGAACAGAATAGAATAAGCAGTGCGCAAGTGGCTAGCAGTCTGACAGGAAGCTGTATTGGTTACATTTGGATTCCAATAAAGCAAGAAGAAACAACATTTTAACAGAATTTACTGAGTTCAGCAATTTCGCATATTCTCATCAGCTGTTTACAGACAGTTAGTGAAAAACAGTGCGATGTTAAGAGCGAAAAAATTCAGTAACTGGAAAATTCCCATTTCATTATCAAGAACAAAAGACCGAAGGTAAACAATTGTTTTCGATGATTTATCTTCAGACCCTTACAATCATATGAGTGAAATAGCAATGGGCGTAAAAGTGGATTCAATCAGTTCAAATGAGATTCGATCACGTGCCGACCAAGGGCATGAACCAAGGACAAACAGCAAAGTAGGACAAAGGTGTAATTGCACAATTACAGTTGCCATCAAGAGAATCCGTTTTGTTTGGCTAAGGTAGCTTAACAGCTTTGAGCAGCTTCTTTTGTGCGCACAAAAGCGGTCGATACAACCGAATGCTGATGGCCTCAGCAGCAGAAAGGGTGCGGAGGCGTAGGCCTTTCGACTGGAGTGGAGGGACCCTGTATAGTGTCCAAAATGCACGGATTAGGTCAACCTCATGCTCACTATCAACAAGATGAGTCAAAACAGAGCTAGTTATAGCCCCAGTACCGCCTCGACGCAACCAGCGTGGTAGGCGCTCTTTAATGCGCTTCGAGAGTTGCCGCGCCGTTCGACCGATGTAAGAAGTGCCACAGATGCACACGATCTGACAACTGACCATAGAAGCGGTCAACGTCGATAACATGCCTTTGTTGTGAATACGGATGAGGGGCTCCGTTGAAAATGTACACCTAAGCTTGGCTGCTGGGAATGTTGACTTGACAGCTGTTGAAAGGCTTCTAGTTACACGCTCAGTAGTGGCGTCTCCCTTGAAGGGTAGTCGTAAGAAAATTCTTTGCTGTCTGAACTTACAACATGTCGGGCTTATTTTGCATGGTCCCAAAAATGAAACCATCAGGATATCCGTTTTCGCGCAGCAAATTCTGAATGAACGTCAACTCATTATCCAACTTGTCTTCAGAACAGATCCTGCAGGCCCTTGTGGTTAGACAGCGAATTAGGTTTCGCTTATATCTCAACGGAACGAAACTGTGAAACTTCGTATACTGGCGCACTGCATGTTTTCTTCCTGTAGACCTGCCGTTGGATCGAACCGTCTGCCCTTCTAGTTAACAGCACACGTGACTCGTGCCGAGGAAAACGCAATCACTAGCCTCACCAGGGAAGGGCTAGCGTGGATTCGTAAGTACAGCGTATTGTTATCACGATATTTGAACACACCTAATGTATGGGTTGAAACAACAGATTCTGGAAGCGGATTCCAACTATGGCCGGCACGAAGCGAGAATAAATTCCGTCTATGCTCCATTCACCTGTATTGCGCCGCCAGTTTGTAGCGGTGGCCTATCAGTCAGCTTTAGGAGCGGATAGCGCGAATGATAAGATGACCACACAGACGTTGATAGCGTCCACTAAAATCTCACAAAATACACAATCGCTGCTGTTCGTAGGGTAAGTGATAGAGCCCTTTGAACTTTTGGTCTCCCGACGTTGTGGAATATCCAAGACGGTTGGATTCATCTTCCGCCATGACTGGCATGCTTGAATGGCAAGTTCCACGTGAGGGCGTATGTATACAGGAAGGAGTTGGGAGAAACTAGACGAATCGAAGCAACCAAACGTCTTTTTTAAGCGCCTAAAGTGTTGGATGCCCATTTAACTGCTAGTGTAGATTATTCCGACCAACCAAGATCTCCTTGGACCAACACGCTGAGATTTTTTTCACGAGAACAATGTTGGTGATCTTGTTTGACCAGGTTATAACTGTTAACCATTTGGTATCGTAGATGGAGCACACAACATTTAGCTAAATTAAACTAGAGACCAATCTGCACTGGACCACCATAAACCTTGTCGAGGTCATTTTGATTCTGTATGCGGCCATCCGGCAATCAAGTAAGGATACAGTGTTGGAATTCAGTAAATCTGCGCACCGCATTGCAGCTAACTTGAGGACTAGAAAAATTCCCAGGTTTTCCTGCATTATCTCCCAGTTTGAGTTTAATCCCTCGGAATTATCCCCTCCCCCCCATTGACACCAGCATGACTTCTTTTCCTTCGTGTTTGCAGCGTGACGGCCGAGTGATGGTGGATGTCGGTGGGACGAATGTGTATGCTTTTCAAATGCGGTCGAACGATGGACACTATCACGTGCTGAATGTGGAGCGTAAGGGAGACACGATGATTGTCACACAAGATTCGGAAGTGATCCGTGTCCATCTGCCTGGTAAGTCGGGCACCACACGGAATAGCTGTTACTGGGTTAGAGTTTGTGTACCGCAATAGTATCTGGCTTGAATGATCACTGGAAATTGTCACCACACTGGGAGGAATCTCGGTTCATCCATTAGGTCCCAGAGTATAGATATGGGTTTATTCACCAAACCGAATACGGACAAATATGCCATCTTAATCATAGCGGTACTTGAAGGAATAAGGTGTTGTTCAACGACGGTATTACAAAGAGGAGCCATCGTTTTCAGATCTTTCACATGTTTTATGGAATTCTTTGCTAATGTATGAGGGAAACTGAGAAATGGTTGGTAAACGTAGCAATAGTACGGTCGGTTTCTGCTGCAATCCATAATATCCGAATCTTCCGACCACTGACAGTCTGCTCCGTCTGATCCTTTTTTATTTATACGGGTTAAGAAGCGTTGCTTTACAGGTCCCGTTGGATAGTTGGTGGGGATATCAACATAACAATAATGCTGATAAGGATAGTAAAATAGTGAATACCTTGAATATGAAAATAAGGACTTTTCGCTTCATCCGCTGTAGTCCTGCGATCCTCTTAGATTCACAGCACCCACAGTTAACAACAAATAATTCCATGGTGAACTCCAGGTGTAGGATGGAGACGTAGTGTTAAGTAACAAAGTGTAAGTGGATGAGTGCATCGTCCAACCGTCTTTTAAATACTCTTAGTGTCGGTGCAGAGACGAGCGATGCTGGGAGAGCATTCCACGGGTGACAGACACGAATGGAAAAGAAATTTCTGCGGCACTTCAGACGCCTGTATTGTTCTGCGAGTTTTAGTGAGTGGCCCCTCAGGTTTGTATTGCTTCTGAGTTGCAGTAAAGGGCGGCACACTTGATGTGGGTCTCGCAGAATTAAGTATGCCATAATCAGGTCACCTCGTAGTCTGCGATAGCTTCCATTGAACATCCCCAATCGTTGTAGCCTCTCCTGGTAGGAAAGATTTCGCATTCCAATTACGTTCTTAGATGTCGGCGTTGTGGCTGCTCCAGTGCATTAAGGTCGTGTTTCAGCCATGGATGCCAGGCTTGAATTGCGTATTCGACATAGGGGCGAACATACGCACTGAGCATTTGTCGAAATATGGAGCTGTTTATGTGTCCAAACGCCCGTCGCAACAGCCCGACGTGTTGGTTCACGGTTTTCGAGACCTTTTCGGATTGGCTGGAGCAACCCAAGGCATCTTGAACCAGGACACCCATCCTGTGTGACGGGCTGATCAAACTGATGCTAAACTTGAGTATGTCTCCGTCAGTCGCCTTTTCCACATCATCAATTGTCTCTGCGACACTTCACCACTGGTACCCGGCAGTCCTATGAAATAAGCAACGAGGTGGGGTGCCGTATACACTTCCGTCCGGCTCAACCCAAATGTTCACAAACGACAACCATCTGGCGGCAGGGATTGTTAGCTTCGGACACTCTCTTTCCAACATCAACCTCTCGGTATAAAAATGGTTAAAGGGTCATAATGTACGAAAAATAGATTTAACAAATAAAGCCCATTTAAAAGTTCTACGTACAGAGTTATACAATACTGTTTTAGTACAGGTGCCTTAGCTGTTTACACATGTTTATCAGTTTGACAATTCTGCACTGTGTTATCCTTGTCGTTGCTAACTGGTCACAGTGTGATTCGCACTGTGACCAAAATTAATGGTGCCGCGTAATGATGCTCAACCACTTGCGTCTCCTATACGATTCCAGTGTGAATCACACTAGACAAAGGCTTATGAGTGGCGTTGTTCGAGACTCAGCTCAAAAGCACGGAATTGCCTACACTGCAACCACAATGTAAGTATGGAACCATTCAGGTGTATACCGACATAGGTAGCCACTTGAAGGAGTTAAACAAAGACCACAAACACGAAACATAGTAGCTTAACTGCCAGAAAGGTAGGCTGTTCAAGGTCATTCAGATCAGGATGGCTAACTCGATGGTCTACGTCGGTTCAACGGAAAGTACACGGTGCCAGTCACAATAAAATAGATATATCCAGTAGTATACAGGATGGGCTAATAGAAACTGGATAAATATTGGCACACCCATCTGGTCCTTAAAGCTAAGGTACGTGAGCGCAGCTTTCTCTCTGTTCGGTAGTATGGTATATAGGCAGGGCGGTGCACTTGAGGTGTTATGAACTAGTTCATTGTAGACATTACACAACCACTTCAGCCTGTTCACTTTTCTGGCACCACTCATCTTCCGACTTCTGCTACATTTCAACCGTCGACTTTTCTTTTACAAGTCGGCTGCTGAAGCCACTGGTCTGTTGATGATGGTGGTAAAACTTCATTGCTCATTATTGGCTGCGTATTAATCCCTACTCGGACTACCAACAAGTCAAAGAGAAGGACGTCAGGCGGATGGAAAACACACGCTTGAAACAATGCAAAGCAGCGAAACTACCTTTGTAGCCGCTTCTACTGCCAATGGGGCCATTGCACCAATGAGATTTCGGAGATCCATTCTAAGTCACAACAAGCATTGCGATAGCCGGTGGAAACCACCCAAGGTTTGATAGGCACGATATCCGGCAGCCAATCCGGATGAAGACTGAGCAGTCAGTTTAAATAAATAAATAAGGTTTTATTCCTGGATTTCTGATAGAAGCTGTTCCCGCAAAAGATCAAATCATTTTGTACAAAAGTTCCATACTCTTACATAAATAAAACCCATATTAGGATTAGTTCTTCCTAAATGCCAGAGCATGTTTTACAACAGAGTTTGACAATTGCCACCTTATAGCATTGTCGGGCATTCCGTTGATATTCGTGCACTCTTCATCAGTTGATTTCCGTGCGGTTGCGTATTACCCCTTGGAATCCATAACACAGAGTCATAATAATTACATATTCTTCGTTGAATGTAAACATGTCTAAACCTGCCAGCCGATTGCATCTATCCACAATTTGTGGAAGGCGCCGCTTCTGCTGTCAAGTCTGCTACTAGTATAGCTACTAGCATCCCTGCGCATTAACATAACACCTGGCTTGGTGACGAATCGTATGCACTGGAATTGCTCAGCTAGGCGAGTATACCAGCGTCTGAATATTGCGACCCATCCTTCATTGAGGCAGGTCCCCTATGTGGACCGGGATTGCGTGAATATGCAGAACACGGTTAATTGAAATCAACCCTCGGTAGCCTCACCTTGTGCATTTCTTACATTCTTTTAATTCTCTCAGTGTCTGGGTGCAGTCAACCAGGTTTATGACACGAAAAAGTGAATGCACACTGAGGAGTAGAAATTGGCTGTTATCATCACATGTGCAGAAAATGCGCGGCCACAGCTTTGTGATCATCAGAGTAAAACAGAAGATGATCCCCAAAAGATTGATTAGAGCCATAACAATTGTTTTCGAAATAAAGTTGTTTATGAGGGTTAAGTACAGGCTACGATATACCGCAGCTGTCCGCTTTGAAGACACCCGTCATCCCACATGCTACTATGCCCTGGTTCTCATCCATTCCGACTCCGAGATCAGTGAGCAATGTATGTTTTCAAGGATCCCGCGACTATTGTATGAGGATTATGCAATCATACTTGTTGTGAACTGCACCCATAGTGTTATTCATTATTATCTATTTTTGCATTCCAGATCTTGTAAGTCCTGCAGACAGAAGTATTGTGTACACTCATCTTCACGTTGCGGCCGATGAGAAGAAGTCTGACATATTTCGGGGAGTCATTGGAGGTGAGTTGGTCGAATCAGTGTCTGGTCTGCCATGAGCCGTACTCTCGACACTGCCTACAATATCGATTGATGTGGCCTATTCTCAGAAGCAATATCTTGCGGCTACCTGTTTACGGTTCTCCAATTCAAAGCACTCAATCCCTGGCCGCTTAAAATCCATACGTTTATCCATTTGTGCTTGTGGCGCTATGATATCATAAAAAGAACAAAGCCGACAGATGCGGGCTACGTTGGTGGACGGTGTGGTCGCCCGCATTTAAGTGACAGTGGTCCCCCATATTATGGACGCCCACTACCGTGTCTACAAAACACGCACTACGCGTTTACTACTAGTTACACTAGCTGGACCTATCGGTCGACATTGGTAGAGCCCACATTTCTACTAAATGAACTCATCTTTTGTTCGGTAGGTTTTAAATATAAATCGGGTTTGTAAAGGATTGTATTTGTATCTGAAACCTTTTAATACTGTGAATTCACAATCCATTCCTTGCTTACTTCGTGGTGTTGAATTCAACGTACTTGTGTGACACGTATCACCTCAAGGTCACTTCCTCATCACAATGGGGTTCATTTCAGCTCTGTTTAGTGAGACAATGTTGCTCTGGGGACATAATAGCAGTAGGTGCAGTGTCTTGGCTTGCGTCTCTGCTATTATGGCAGGCAGTGGTAGCACAAGGGACGTGGAGTAAAAGGTTAGCAGAATCAGTCGGTTTGAAAAGTCAGCCAGATCGCTCTTCTGCTCCGCTACTGCGCTGTGTCGGGTGAGGTTTCCAACCCCGGACGTGATTACTTCTGTGGTTCTATCAAAGAAGACGAAAACCACTTGCTTGCTCGAGGCTCTTAATCAGTATTTTCATGCCTTTTTGTCACGCCATCGGTTGGCTGCCGCACGGTCTCGCTCACCTTGGTGCACCTCAACCGGTGACCAACATCACTCGAACTCAGGGCTGCCAACAACGCATGCCACTGTCCCCCTTGTCTCAGAAGCCCGGCTAATCTGAAAGAGCTGATAACGGTTACATGTTCGATTCTGTGAGAGTGGCGTTGGGGATGCGCACCACTGACGAGCACCAATAAGGCGAAACTGCCGTTTGGTGCCTTTCGAATTGGTGGCTAGACAAGGCGACTTGTGAGCTTCTTAGGCGAATCAGTAAAATATCGTCAAAAATCCTTCTTATTGGCAATACGTCGCTAACCAAGCAGAAGCCATGTATTAAATTGCGCACCTGATCGTCAGTCCTCGGCAACCGACGGTACGCAGTTTAAAACCTGCTTGCAAGAGCTGATTGCTAGCCACCCTCTGTACAACCACGTAACTTCTCCCACCAGATTTCGAACTGCTAACACGCCGTCGATACTGCATCTTGTGCTAACTAACGAAGAACTCATGGTTGACGGGATAGTTACAAGCACACCACTGGGTCGTAGTGATCATGTTACTCTACTCTTTGACTGTATATGCTATGCGAAGTACCCTGAAAAGGAGGATGATAAAGTGCATACTGTCACGCACTATAATGTGTTATCTAAGCTTGTTAAGGATACATCTTGAACTTTCTTAGCCGAATTCCCCCTAAATGTTGCCTGAGAAACCTTTACAAGGACGTTTAGCACACTGGTTGCGCACGCATCAGAACAGAAGTCCTTCCAACCCAAAAACCAGAGTAAGTCATTTCTGAGGAGCAGAACACGTAAATATATGTCCCGGAGGGATCTGACATGGCGAGATCACCAGGACTGCTCGAATGCGGAAACCTGGACTGCATACGTGACACATCGTAACTTCTGTGTGAAACTGATCCGCGAAGACAAGGTCACGCATCAGCAGGAGTTAATGAAACAATTCTGCACGAACCGCAAACTTCTGTACAGGCACATTAACGGCCTTCCAAAGGTGAAGCGGGGGGTTCCAGCACTAGTCACGGCTGGTGGTTGCACGCGATCAGCAATGGAAGCAGCTGATCTTCTACGGCTTCATTACCCCAAAATTTTCCAGCAGGTAACGAGCCCAAACATTCTCCTCACTTCTAATACTCCACCGTCGGGTTTAGACAATATCACCTTCACTGCGGAAGCTGTGTTGAATAAGCTGTTATCCTTGCGTAGCCACAGTTCTGCTGGACTCGACAACATCCGACCAAAGACTTAGCAGGCGGTAGCTAGTGATCTAGCAGAACCACTGGCTGTTTTCTATCAGCGACGTTTAGAAGAGAACCGTATTCCACCAGTATGGAAGCGAGGGGTCATCACTCCTATCCATAAAGGAGGTAGCCGCACTGATCCTGCCAACTACCGTCCAATAACACTACTTCCCGTACTATCCAAAGTGATGGAACCAATCATCGCAGATGCGCTGATGCAGTATCTGGAAAGCCACAACTTAATAGCTCCAGAGCAACATGGCTTTCGTCAAAAGCATTCGTGTAATACTAACCTATTAATTGTACGTAATTGCTGGACTGAAGCTGTTGATGATGCAGTAGGAATCGAAGTCATCTACCTGGACTTTTCAAAAGCGTTGGGTCGCCTAGACCATCGCATTTTCCTTTAGAAGCTTTGGAACTACGGCATTGGTGACCCGATCCTGAGTTGGATTAGCAATTTTCTACGCGAAAGACGACTAGTGGTGAGAGTCCGAGAGTCATTGTCTGACGCAATCGATGTGGCGTGTGGAGTAGCAAAAGGCTCGGTTCTTGGACCTCGTCTATTTTTGGTGCTCATTAACGATTTGGTGAGACCAATTGCTTCTGATTTCCTATTTTTCGCTGATGATATCAAGATATGCCGAAGGAGCAGAGGACCAGACGACCACGAACGGCTCCAGTGCGATCTTAACACAGTGTCGAACTGGTCAGTTCAAAACGCCCTACCATTCAACGTAGACAAATGTCGCGTTGTACAATTACGCCATGGACATAACTACACCTATTTACTTGGGACAAACGGATTTCAGAATAGCTCCCAGAAACGTGACCTTGGTGTGCTCGTACAGAGCGACCTCAACTGTTCAAAACAGGCTGAGGTAGCTGCCAAAAGAGGCAACCAGCACGTCGGCATGCTGCGAAGTGCATTCGGGAGATTTGATCCATCAATCTTCCCAAGGATGCACAATACCTACGTGCACCCGCATCTAGAATACACTATCCAAGCTTGGCAACCTTGGTTGAAGCGCGACCTAGAAGCGATAGAGGCACCTCAACGAAGAGCAACAAAGAATGTAAAGGGCCTGCGCTATCACTCTTACCACCGAAGGATGAAGTTGTTTGGAATTTTCAACGGATGCTATCGAAGGCTGCGCGGCGATCTCATTTTGGCGTATCAGATATTGAGTGACCCCAACCACGTATGCCGCCATTTGCTGAAACTTAGCCACAACACGCAGCTCAGGGGTAACTGCTTAAAGCTGAAGGAACAATATAGCCGTCTAGAGTGTCGACAGAATTACTTTTCCCTTCGGGTTTGCCAACCATGGAACGCACTCCCAGACTCAGTTGTATCCTCTCCTACCTTGGATGTTTC